TTTCACTGACCAGAATAGGGGAGGTTTGGGGTCCCCTAAATTTGGGGGAGGGTCTTTCACTGACCAGAATAGGGGAATTTGGGGTCCCCTTTGACCCCCCTTTTTCTTTCTCTCCCCCCTCAGGAGACAAACCTAACCCAAACCCAGCGCCCCAAACCCCCTCCCCACCCTCACCCCCGCCCCCACCCCCAAAAACCGACCCCCTCCCCCCCCATCGCAAACCCCCTCCCCCTCGTGAGAGACCCCCAAGGCCGAGAGACCCCTAGGCCGAGACCCCCAAAGCGCAGCCCCCCGCTCCCCGGCCCCCCTGCGCCGCCCCCGTGGGCCCCCGGCCCTTCTGGCCCCCAAAACCAAGGCCAAGCCCCCACAGGTGAGGCGGAGCCGCCCCAAGAAGAGGAAAAAGTGGCTCAAGGAGGCGGCGACCACGCCGAGTCTGAGTTGGGACGGACCCCCAGCGAGGAGGGTGCGTCTGGGGGCACCCCAAAATCGGGGGGCTGGGGGGTTTGGGGGATTTGGGGGATTTGGGGGGAATTGGAGGGTTTGGGGGATTAGAGGAGGTTATTGGGGGCTTTTTGGTGGTGATGACGTCCGAAGTCCGAGTTGGGACCGATCCCCAGCGAGGAGGGTGCGTCTGGAGGCACCCCAAAATCGGGGGGGTCCCCTGGGGTGAAATTTGGGGGTTTGGGGGATTTGGGGTCCCTGGGGGAATTTGGGGGTTTGGGGGATTAGAGGGGGTTATGGGGGGTTCTGAGTGGTGCTGACGTCAGAATTGGAGTCGGGGACAGACCCCCAGCGAGGAGGGTGCGTCTGGGGGCACCCCAAAATTTGGGGGGGCTGGGGGGGTTTGGGGTGAAATTTGGGGGTTTAGGGGTCCCTAGGGTTAAATTTGGGGGTTTAGGGGATTTGGGGGTTTGGGGGATTAGAGGGTTATGGGGGTTTTGGGTGGTGATGACGTCAGAGTTGGAGTCGGGAATGGACCCCCAGCGAGGAGGGTGCGTCTGGGGGCACCCCAAAATCGGGGGGGCTGGGGGTCCCTGGAGCAGAAATTTGGGGGTTTGGGGTCCCAGGGGGAATTTGGGGGCTTGGGGGTCCCTGGGGGAATCTGGGGGTTTGAGAGGGATTAGAGGGGAATTTGGGGGATTTGGGGGTTTTGGGTGGTGATGATGTCAGAGTCCGAGTCTGAACTGACTCCCCAGCGAGGAGTGCGTGTCTGGGGGCACCCCAAGAATTTGGGTGGGCTGGGGAGGGGTTTGGGGGATTTGGGGGGTTTGGGGTGGATTTGGGGGAGTTTGGGGGATTAGAGGAGGTTATTGGGGGATTTTGGGTGGTGATGATGTCAGAGTGGGGACGAACCCCCCAGCGAGGAGGGTGCGTCTGGGGGCACCCCAAAATCGGGGAGTCCCTGGGTGAAATTTGGGGGTTTGGGGTCCCTGGGGAAGTTGGGGTGTTTGGGGGATTAGAGGGGAATTGGGGGAAAATGGGGATTTGGGTGGTGATGACGTCCGAGTCCGAGTCGGGGACAGACCCCCAGCGAGGAGGGTGCGTCTGGGGGACACCCCAAAATGGGAGGTCCCTGGGGTGAAATTTGGGGGGATTTGGGGGATTTGGGGGTTATGGGGGGTTTGAGTGGTGATGACGTCAGAGTTGAGTCAGGAATGGACCCCCAGCGAGGAGGGTGTCTGGGGGCACCCCAAAATCGGGGGTGGCTGGGGGTCCCTGAGGTGAAATTTGGGGGTTTGGGGTGGATTTGGGGTTTGGGGGGGTTTGGGGGATTAGAGGGGAATATGGGGGAAAATGGGGGTTTGAGTGGTGATGACGTCAGAATTGGAGTCGAGGATGGACCCCCAGCGAGGAGGGTGCGTCTGGGGGCACCCCAAAATTTGGGGGCTGGGGGGTCCCTGGGGTGAAATTTGGGGGGTTTGGGGGATTAGAGGAGGTTATTGGGGGTTTTGGTGGTGATGACGTCAGAATTTGATTCAAGAATGGACCCCCAGCGAGGAGGGTGCTGCCTGGGGGCACCCCCAAATCTGGGAGGGCTGGAGGGGTCCCTGGAGCAGAAATTTGGGGAGTTTGGGGTCCCTGGGGGAATATGGGGGTTTGGGGTGGATTTGGGGGTTTGGGGGATTAGAGGGGGTTATGGGGGTTTTGGGTGGTGGTGATGTCAGAATTGGAGTGGGGACGGACCCCCAGCGAGGAGGGTGCGTCTGGGGGCACCCCAAAATCGGGGGGGCTGGGGAGGTTTGGGGGTTTGGGGTGGATTTGGGGGAATTTGGGGGTTTGAGGAGGAATTTGGGGGATTTGGGGTCCCTGGGGAAATTTGGGGGATTTGAGGGGGTTATGGGGGATTTGGGTGGTGATGACGTCCGAGTCTGAGTCAGGGGACAGACTCCCAGGGAGGAGGGTGCGTCTGGGGCACCCCAAAATCGGGGAGCTGGGGTCCCTGGAGCAGAAATTTGGGGGGTTTGGGGTCCTGGGGGCAATTGGGGGTTTGGGGTGGATTTGGGGGTTATGGGGGTTTTGAGTGGTGATGACGTCAGAATTGAGTCGGAATGGACCTCCAGCGAGGAGGGTGTCTGGGGGCACCCCAAAATTTGGGGGCTGGGGAGGGGTTTGGGGGATTTGGGGGATTTGGGGGATTAGAGGGGGTTATGGGGGGAAAATGGGGGTTTTGAGTGGTGATGACGTCCGAGTCCAAGTCAGGGACCGACCCCCAGCGAGGAGGGATGCGTCTGGGGGCACCCCAAAATCGGGGGTTCCTGGGGTGAAATTTGGGGGTTTGGGGTCCCTGGGGGAATTTGGGGGTTTGAGAGGAATTTGGGGGGACTTGAGTGGTGATGACGTCAGAGTCCGAAGTCGAGACTGACCCCCAGCGAGGAGGAGAGGGCTGGGGTACCCCAAAATCTGGGGGGCTGGGGGGGTTGGGGGCATTTGGGGGTTTGGGGGATTATAGGGGATTTGGGGGATTAGAGGGGGATATTGGGGAATTTGGGGTGGTGATGACGCCAGAGTTGGCACTGACCCCAGAGCAAGGAGGGTGCTGTCTGGGGGCACTCCAAAATCGGAGGGGCTGGGGAGAGGTTTGGGGGCATTTGGGGGGTTTGGGGGATTAGAGGGGGTATGGGGGATTTGGGTGGTGCTGATGTCAGAGTCGGGAACGGACCCCCAGAGCAAGCAGGGTGTGTCCTGGGGGGACCCCGAAATTTTGGGGGGGGTCCCTGGGGTGAAATTTGGGGGGAATTTGAGGGGTTTGGGGGTGTGGCCTCTTTCATGGGCGGGGCTTCCCCTCTGAGGGGGTGTGGCTTAATATGGGGGCGTGGCTTCTATTTCAAGGGGCCACGCCCCTCCCAATTGGTTGATAATGAGGGGGTGGGTCCCATCTGAGGGGGCGTGGCTTAGCTGATGTTAATATGGTGGGCGTGGTGTTCCCAGTGGGCGTGGCTCCCTAATTATGAATAATTTAGGGATGAGTCCCACTTGTGGGCAGGGCTTTGGCAAAGGGGCGTGGTTTGTGCGGTGGGCGTGGCTCCCGTTTAAAGGGGCAACATCTACTGACACAGGGTGGTCCCCCACTTGTGGGCGGGGCTGCTGGTGAAAGGGGCGTGGTTTTCACGGTGGGCGTGGCTCCCATTTAAAGGGGCAATGCACCTGATTGGGGGGGGGCCACTCTTAGGTGGGGATACTGGGAAAAGGGGCGTGGTTTAATGGTGGGTGTGGCTCCCATTTAAAGGGGTGACGCCCCCAATGAGGGCCAGGGGAGTGGTCCCCACTGGTGGGCGGGGTTATTGGTGAAAGGGGCGTGGTTTACATGGTGGGCGTGGCTCCCATTTAAAGGGGCAATGCAGGGGGTGGTCCCCACTTTTAGGCAGATCTGCTGGCAAAAAGGGGAGTGGCTTATTTGGTGGGCGTGGCTCCCATTTAAAGGGGCGATGCACCTAAGAAACAGGGGGGGGTCCTCATTTTAAGGTGGGACTTTTGGCAAAAAGGGGCGTGGTTTAAATGGTGGGCGTGGCTCCCATTTAAAGGGGCAACACATCTCATAACAGGAAGGGGGGTGGACCCCACTTTTAGAGGGGGGCAAAAGGGGCGTGGCTTAAACGGTGGGCGTGGCTCCCATTTTAAGGGACGATGCACTCGGTGGGCGTGGCTTTCCCGTTCCGCCGGGGGGGAGGGGAGGGGAGGGGAGGGGTGGGCGGTGCAGGAAGTTTGGGGTGGGCGTGTCCCGCCCTGAAAGGGGGCGTGTCCGGTGCCCGCAGAGCGCGCGCCGGCGGCGGGGCGGGCGCTGAACACGCGGGCCATGCGGGAGATGTACCGCAGCTACGTGGAGATGCTCGTCAGCACCGCCCTCGACCCCGACATGATCCAGGCCCTGGAGGACACCAACGGTGAGCGGGGCAACACCCCCCAAAAATACCTCAAAAATACCCCAAAAAACACCCCAAAAAATACCTTAAAAATACCCCCAAAAAACCTTCCAAAAAACACCCCAAAAACCACTCCAAAAATCCCCCAAAACACCCCCTAAAAACCTCTCAGAAAACACCCCAAAAACCCCCCAAAAAACACCCCCAAAACACCCCAAAAACACCTCAAAAGCACCCCAAAACACCCCCAAAAACACCCTCAAAAACTATCCTCAAAACACTCCAAAACACCCCCAAAACACTCCAAAAATCCCCAAAACACCCCCCAAAACACCCCCCAAACACCTCTCAGAAAACACCCCAAAAACACCCCCAAAATCCCCAAAACCCCTAGAAAACACCCCCAAACACCCCTAAGAAACCCCCAAAACCCCCCAAAAACCACCCCCAAAACACCCCAAAAATTCCTCAAAACCCCCCAAACACCCCCAAAGACACCCCAAAAACCCCCCAAAACCCCCAAAAACACCCCAAAACCACCCCAAAACACCCCAAAAACACCCCAAAACCCAAAAACACCCCAAAACACCTCAAAAACTCCCAAAACCCCAAAAACACCCCAAAACCCCCAAAAACACCCCAAAAATACCTCAAAACCCCCCAAAGACACCCCTAAAACCCACCAAAAACACCCCAATAACCCCCAAAAACACCCCAAAACCCTCCAAAAGACCTTCCAAAAACACCCCAAAACCTCCCCAAAAAACACCCCAAACCTCCCAAAAGACCTTCCAAAAACACCCCAAAACCTCCCAAAAAGCCTCAACCCCCCAAAAACCTTCCAAAAACCAGTCCAAAAACACCCCAAAACATCTCAAAATCTTCCAAAACCCCAGACACCCCTAAAACCCACCAAAAACACCCCAAAAACCCACCAAAAACACCCCAAAAGCCCCAAAAACACCCTAAAACACCCCAAACTCCCCCCAAAACACCCCAAACCACCCCAGAAATCCCCAAAAACCCAAAACCCCCAAAACACCCCAAAACCCCCAAAACCCCCCAAAACACCCAAAACACCCAAGCCCACCCAAAACACCCCAAAAACACCCCAAAACCCCCAAAGCCCCCTAACCCCACCCTCCCCAGACGAACTGTACCTGACCCCCAAAACTCCCCAAAACATCCCAAAAACACCCAAACCCCCAAAAACACTCCAAAACCCCCAAACACCCCAAACACCCTAAAAACACCCTAAAAATACCCCAAACCCCCCAAAAACACCCAGAAAACACCCCAAAATCCCCCAAAAAGCCCTCAAAACCTCCCAAAACCTTCAAAAACACCCCAAAATCTCCTCAAAACCTCCCAAACCCCCTAAAAACACCCTAAAAACACCCCTAAAACACCCCAAAAACACCCCAAAACCACCCCAAAACCCCCAAACAAACACCTCAAAAACCCCAAAAATCCCCAAAACACCCCAAAACCCCCCAAAAACACCCCAAAACCCCCAACCTCCCTAACCCCTGCCCTCCCCAGACGAGCTGTACCTGCCCCCCAAATCTGCCCCCAAAAACCCCCAAAGACCCCCCCAGAAAACACCACAAAAACCCCCAAAACACTCCCAAACCACTTCCATAAACACCCAAAATCCCCAAAACCCCCAAAAACCCCTAAACACCCCAAAACTCCCCAAAACACCCCAAAACCCCCCAAAAACCCCAAAATCCCCAAAAGAACCCCAAAACACCCCAAAACTCCCCCAAAACTACTCCCAAAAAAGCCAAAAACCCCCAAAAGACCCTCAAAATCCAAACCCCAAAAACCCCAAAGAACACCCCTAAAAACCTCAAACATCCAAAAACCCCAAAACCACCCAAAAACAGCTCAAAACCCCATAAACCCCCAAAACACCCCCAAACCCCCTAACCCACCCTCCCCCCAGATGAGCTGTACCTGCCCCCAAAAGCCCCCAAAAACCCCCAAAGACTCCCTCAAAACACCTTAAACCCCCAAAACACCCAAAACACCCCAAACCCCACAAACCCCCAAAAACCTTCCAAAAACACCCCCAAAACACCCCAAACACCTCAAAACACCCCAAAACCCCCTAAAACAACCCCAACTCCCCAAAAACACCCTAAACCCCCCAAAACACCCCAAAACCCCCAAAACCATACCCAAAAACCCCTAAAACCACCCAAACCCCCAGAAACACCCCAAAACCCCCCAAAACACCCCAAAACCTCCAAAAGACCTTCCAAAAACACCCCAAAACCTCCCCAAAAAGCCTCAACCCCCAAAAACCTTCCAAAACCAGTCCAAAAACCTCCCAAAAACACCCCAAAAACTCTCGAAAATCTCCCAAACCCTCAAAGACACTCCCAAAACACCCCAAAACCCACCAAAAACACACCAAAAGCCCCCAAAACACCCAAAAACCCCCAAAAACACCCCAAAACCACCCAAAAATCCCTCAAAAACCCCCAACCCCCAAAAACACCCCAACCCCCCAAAAACACCTTAACCCCCAAAAACACCCCAAAACCGCCCAAAAACACCCCAAAACCACCTTAACCCCCCCAAAAACACCCCAAAAACTCCAAAACACCCCCAAAAACACCCCAAAACCCCCCAAAAACCCTAAAAACACCCCAAAACTCCCCTAAAACACCCCAAAACACCCCAAAAACCAAACCCCCAAAAACCCCAAAACACCCCAAAACCCCCCAAAACTACCCCAAAAGCCAAAACCCCCAAAAGACCCTCAAAACCCAAAAAAAATCAAAACCCCAAAGAACACCCCCAAAACCCCAAAAATCCAAAAACCCCCAAACACACCCAAAACCCTAAAACCCCCCAAAAACACCCCAAAAACCCCCAAAACCCTCCTAACCCCACCCCTCCCCCCAGACGAGCTGTACCTGCCCCCCATGCGCAAAATCGACGGCATCCTCAACGACCACAAGAAAAAAGTGCTCAAGAGAGTGACCCTGCACCCCACCCTGCAGGTATTTCATTATTTATTTCATTATTGGGGGGTCACCCTGCACCCCACCCTGCAGGTATTTTATTTATTTCATTAATTGGGGGGTCACCCTGCACCCCACCCTGCAGGTATTTAATTTATTTCATTATTTGGGGGGTCACCCTGCACCCCACCCTGCAGGTATTTCAGTTTGGGGGGGATTTGGGGGGGCTCTGGGGGGTCACCCTGCACCCCACCCTGCAGGTATTTTATTTATTTCATTAATTGGGGGGGATTTGGGGGGCTCTGGGGGGTCACCCTGCACCCCACTCTGCAGGTATCTCATTTATTTCATTAATTGGGGGATTTGGGGGCTCTGGGGCTCACCCTGCACCCCAGCCTGCAGGTATTTTATTTATTTTATTATTTGGGGGGGCTCTGGGGGCTCACCCTGCACCCCAGCCTGCAGGTACTTCATTTTGGGGGATTTGGGGAATTTGGGGGATTTGGGGGCTCTGTGGGGATTTGGAGGATTTGGGGGGCTCTGGGGTGGTGCTGCCCCCAACCTGCAGGTGACCCTTTTGGGGGGATTTGGGGGCTCTGGGGGATTTTGGGGGCTCTGGGGGATTTTGGGGGCTCTGGGGTCACCCTGCACCCCAGCCTGCAGGTACTTCATTTTGGGGGATTTGGGGGCTCTGGGGATTTGGGAGTGATTTTGAGGGGCTTTGGGGTGATGCTGCCCCAGCCTGCAGGTGACCCCAGGGGAGGGATTTGGGGGCTTTGGGGAACTCTGGGGGATTTGGAGCTGATTTGGGGGTCACCCTGCACCCCAGCCTGCAGGTATCTCATTTTGGGGGGGATTTGGGGGCTCTGGGGATTTGGGGCTCTGGGGGTCACCCTGCACCCCAGCCTGCAGGTACTTCATTTTGGGGATTTGGGGGCTCTGGGGTGATTTGGGGGTGATTTGGGGTCATCCTGCACCCCAGCCTGCAGGTATCTCATTTTGGGGGCTCTGGGGGAATTGGGGGATTTTGGGGGCTCTGGGGGCTCTAGGGGTGGTGCTGCCCCCAACCTGCAGGTGACCCTTTGGGGATTTGGGGGCTCTGGGGTCACAGGGGGAGGGGAGCTGGGGGCTCTGGGGTGGCTCTGGGGTCAAATGGGAGGGGGTGACCCCAGGTGACCCCCAGTGCCCCCCAGCAGTCCCTGCACCCCTTCCCCAGCTCCAGGGGTTGGGGTCCCCCTGAGACCCCCAGACCCAGCTATTGGGGTGTCCCCTGAGCCCCCTGAGCCCCCTGTCCCAGGTGACCCCAGGGACCCCCAGGGACCCCCAGAGACCCCCAGGTGACCCCCAATGTCCCCCCCAGCAGTCCCTGCACCCCTTCCCCCAGCCCCTCACCCACCCCAGGGGGGTTGGGGTCCCTCCTGACCCCCATCCCTGGGCACCAATGAATCCACCTGTCCCAGTTGCTCCTCAAGGACCCTCAGGGACCCCCAGGGACCTTTGGGGACCCCTAGGTGACCCCCTTTTGCCCCCAGGAGGCCCTGCACACCTTCCCCCAGCCCTCACCCACCCCAGGGGCTGGGACCCCAGTGCCCCCAGACCCAGCTATGGGGGTGTCCCCTGAGCCCCCCTGTCCCAGGTGACCCCAGGGACCTTTGGGGACCCCAGGTGACCCCCTTTTCCCCCAGCAGTCCCTGCACCCCTTCCCCAGCCCCTCACTCCACCCCAGGGGTTGGGGTCCCCTGAGACCCCCAGACCCAACTATGGGGGTGTCCCTGAGACCCCCAGTGCCCCCTGTCCCAGGTGACCCCCAGAGACCCCAGGGACCCCCAGGTGACCCCCAATGTCCCCCAGCAGTCCCTGCACACCTTCCCCAGCTCCAAGGGTTGGGGTCCCTCCTGAGACCCCCCAGTGCCCCCAGACCCAGCTATTGGGGTGTCCCCTGAGCCCCCAGAGCCCCCTGTCCCAGGTGACCCTTCGGGACCCCTAGGGACCTTTGGGGACCCCAGGGACCCTCAGGGACCCCAGGTGCCCCCCTTCCTCCTCCCCCAGCAGTCCCTGCACACCTTCCCCCAGCCCTCACTCCACCCCAGGGGCTGGGGTCCCTCTGAGACCCCAGACCCAACTATGGGGCTGTCCCCTGAGCCCCCTGTCCCAGGTGACCCTTGGGGACCCCCAGGTGACCCCATGCCCCCCAGCAGTCCCTGCACACCTTCCCCACCCCAGGGGTTGGGGTCCTGAGACTTCCCCAGTGCCCCCAGACCCAGCTATTGGGGTGTCCCCTGAGCCCCCTGAGCCCCCCTGTCCCAGGTGACCCCTGGGGACCCCAGGGACCCCAGAGACCCCAGGTGACCCCCAATGTCCCCCAGCAGTCCCTGCACCCTTCCCCCAGCCCCCTCACCCACCCCAGGGGGTTGGGGTCCCTCCTGACCCCCATCCCTGGGCACCAATGAATCCACCTGTCCCAGTTGCTCCTCAAGGACCCTCAGGGACCCCAGGGACCTTGGGGACCCCCAGGTGACCCTTTTTGCCCCCAGGAGGCCCTGCACACCTTCCCAGCCCCTCACTCCACCCCAGGGGTTGGGACCCCCAGTGCCCCCAGACCCAGCTATGGGGTGACCCCTGAGCCCCCTGTCCCAGGTGACCCCAGGGACCTTTGGGGACCCCCAGGTGACCCCCTTTTTCCCCCCAGCAGTCCCTTTCTGCACCCCTTCCCCAGCCCTCACTCCACCCCAGGGGCTGGGGTCCCCCCTGAGACCCCCAGACCCACCATGGGAGTGTCCCTGAGACTCCCCAGTGCCCCCTGTCCCAGGTGACCCTCAGAGACCCCAGGGACCCCCAGGTGACCCCCCAATGTCCCCCCAGCAGTCCCTGCACACCTTCCCCAGCTCCAAGGGTTGGGGTCCCTCCCTGAGACCCCCCAGTGCCCCCAGACCCAGCTATTGGGGTGTCCCCTGAGCCCCCAGAGCCCCCCCTGTCCCAGGTGACCCTTGGGGACCCCTAGGGACCTTTGGGGATCCCCAGGGACCCCAGGGACCCCCAGGTGCCCCCTTCTCCTCCCCCCCAGCAGTCCCTGCACACCTTCCCCAGCCCCTCACCCACCCCAGGGGTTAGGGTCCCCTCTGAGACCCCCAGACCCAACTATGGGGCTGTCCCCTGAGCCCCCTGTCCCAGGTGACCCTTGGGGACCCCAGGTGACCCCCAATGCCCCCCAGCAGTCCCTGCACACCTTCCCCCACCCCAGGGGGTTGGGGTCCCTGAGACCCCCAGTGCCCCCAGACCCAGCTATTGGGGTGTCCCCTGAGCCCCCTGAGCCCCCTGTCCCAGGTGACCCTCGAGGACCCTTGGGGACCCCAGGACCCCAGGTGACCCCCAATGTCCCCCCAGCAGTCCCTGCACCCTTCCCCAGCCCTCACCCACCCCAGGGGGTTGGGGTCCCCCTGAGACCCCCCAGTGCCCCCAGACCCAGCTATTGGGGTGTCCCCTGAGCCCCCTGAGCCCCCTGTCCCAGGTGACCCTCGGGACCCCAGGGACCCCTAGGGACCCCCAGGTGACCCCCAATGTCCCCCCAGCAGTCCCTGCACACCTTCCCCCAGCTCCAGGGGTTGGGGTCCCCTGAGACCCCCAGTGCCCCCAGACCCCCAGTGCCCCCAGACCCAGCTATTGGGGTGTCCCCTGAGCCCCCTGTCCCAGGTGACCCCCAGGGACCCCCAGGTGACCCCCAATCCCCCCCAGCAGTCCCTGCACCCCTTCCCCAGCCCCTCACCCACCCCAGGGGGGTTGGGGTCCCACCTGAGACCCCCAGACCCAGCTATTGGGGTGTCCCCTGAGCCCCCTGAGCCCCCCTGTCCCAGGTGACCCTTGGGGACCCCCAGGGACCCCCAGGTGACCCTTTCCCCCAGCAGTCCCTGCACACCTTCCCAGCTCCAGGGGCTGGGGTCCCTGAGACCCCCCAGTGCCCCTAGACCCAGCTATTGGGGTGTCCCCTGAGCCCCCTGAGCCCCTCCGTCCCAGGTGACCCTCAGGGACCCTTGGAGACCCCCAGGGACCCCCAGGTGACCCCCTTTTTCCCCCAGCAGTCCCTGCACCCCTTCCCCAGCCCTCACCCACCTCAGGAGTTGTGGTCTCCTTGAGACCCCCAGACCCAATTATTGGGGTGTCCCCTGAGCCCCCAGAGCCCCCCTGTCCCAGGTGACCCTTGGGGACCCCCAGGGACCTTTGGGGACCCCCAGGTGACCCCCAATGTCCCCCCCAGCAGTCCCTGCACACCTTCCCCCAGCTCCAGGGGTTGGGGTCCCCTGAGACCCCCCAGTGCCCCCAGACCCCCCAGTGCCCCCAGACCCAGCTATTGGGGTGTCCCCTGAGCCCCCAGAGCCCCCTGTCCCAGGTGACCCTTGGGACCCCAGGGACCCTCAGGGACCCCCAGGTGACCCCCAATGTCCCCCCAGCAGTCCCTGCACCCCTTCCCCCAGCCCTGTGGGTTGGGTCCCCCTGAGACCCCCGTGCCCCCAGACCCCCCAGTGCCCCCAGACCCAGCTATTGGGGTGTCCCCTGAGCCCCCCTGTCCCAGGTGACCCTCAGGGACCCTCAGGGACCCTCAGGGACCCCCAGGTGACCCCCAGTGTCCCCCCAGCAGTCCCTGCACCCCTTCCCCCAGCTCCAGGGGTTGGGGTCCCTGAGACCCCCCCAGTGCCCCCAGACCCAGCTATTGGGGTGTCCCCTGAGCCCCCCCATCCCAGGTGACCCTTGGGGACCCCCAGGGACCTTTGGGGACCCCCAGGTGACCCCCCAGTGCCCCCCAGCAGTCCCTGCACACCTTCCCCAGCCCAGGGGTTGGGGGTCCCTGAGACCCCCAGTGCCCCCAGACCCGGCTATTGGGGTGTCCCCTGAGCCCCCCTGAGCCCCCCTGTCCCAGGTGACCCTTGGGGACCCTCAGGGACCCTCAGGGACCCCCAGGTGACCCCCTTTTTGCCCCCAGCAGTCCCTGCACACCTTCCCCAGCCCCTCACCCACCCCAGGGGTTGGGGTCCCTGAGACCCCCCCAGTGCCCCCAGACCCAGCTATTGGGGTGTCCCCTGAGCCCCCCTGAGCCCCCCTGTCCCAGATGACCCCCGGGGACCCCCAGGGACCCCAGGTGACCCCCAGTGCCCCCCCAGCAGTCCCTGCACTCTTTCCCCCACTCCAGGGGTTGGGGTCCCCCCAGTGCCCCCAGACCCGGCTATTGGGGTGTCCCCTGAGCCCCCCTGTCCCAGGTGACCCTCAGGGACCCCCAGGGACCCCCAGGTGACCCCCTTTTCCCCCCCAGGAGGCCCTGCACACCTTCCCCCAGCTGCACGCCGAGCCGGGGGAGTCTCTGGTGAAACTGCGCCCGGGGGGGGACCCCTATAACAGAAAAACCCTCAGCAAGGTCAAGAGGAGCGTGGGCAAACCACAGGTGAGGGCTTTGGGGGGTCCTGGGGGGGTCACAGAATGGATTTGAGGGGTCCTGGGGGGGTTTGGGGGACCCCTATAACAGAAAAACCCTCAGCAAGGTCAAGAGGAGCGTGGGCAAACCACAGGTGAGGGCTTTGGGGGTCCTGGGGGTCCTGGGGGGTCACAGAGGGGATTTGAGGGGTCCCAGAGGGATTTGAGGGGTCACAGAGGGATTTGGGGGTCCTGGGGGGTCACAGAGGGATTTGAGGGGTCCTGGGGGTTTGGGGGACCCCTATAACAGAAAAACCCTCAGCAAGGTCAAGAGGAGCGTGGGCAAACCACAGGTGAGGGGCTTTGGGGGGGTCCTGGGGGGGTCACAGAGGGGATTTGAGGGGTCACAGAGGGGATTTGGGGGTCCTGGGGTTTGGGGACCCTATAACAGAAAACCCTCAGCAAGGTCAAGAGGAGCGTGGGCAAACCACAGGTGAGGGCTTTGGGGGTCATAAAGAGGATTTGGGGGTCCTGGGGGTCCCAGAGGGGATTTGAGGGGTCCTGGGGTCACAGAATGGATTTGAGGGGTCCTGGGGGGTTTGGGGACCCTATAACAGAAAAACCCTCAGCAAGGTCAAGAGGAGCGTGGGCAAAGCACAGGTGAGGGGGCTGGGGGGTCCCAGAAGGGATTTGGGGGTCCTGGGGTCACAGAGGGGATTTGAGGGGTCCTGGGGGTCTGGGGGACCCTTAGAACAGAAAAACCCTCAGCAAGGTCAAGAGGAGCGTGGGCAAACCACAGGTGAGGGGGCTGGGGGGGTCCTGGGGGTCTGGGGGTCCTGGAATGGTCACAGGGGGATTTGGAGGGGATTTGGGGGTCCTGGGGTCCCCACAACCACAAGAGCCTCAGCAAGGTCAAGAGGAGCGTGGGCAAAGCACAGGTGAGGGGGCTGGGGGTCCTGGGGGGTCACAGGGGGTTTGGAGAAGATTTGGGGGGTCACAGAGGGATTTGAGGGGTCCTGGGGGTCTCTGGGGACCCCACAACCACAGGACCTTCAGCAAGGTCAAGAGGAGCGTGGGCAAAGCACAGGTGAGGGGTCCTGGGGGGTCCTGGGGGTCTCAGAGGGGATTTGAGGGGTCCTGGGGTCCCAGAGGGGTCTCAGGGGGTTTGGGGGGTCCTGGGGGTCCCTAGAGGGGTCCCAGGGGGTTTGTGCGCAAAATCGACGGCATCCTCAACGACCACAAGAAAAAAGTGCTCAAGAGAGTGACCCTGCACCCCACCCTGCAGGTATTTCATTATTTATTTCATTATTGGGGTCACCCTGCACCCCACCCTGCAGGTATTTTATTTTATTTCATTAATTGGGGGTCACCCTGCACCCCACCCTGCAGGTATTTTATTTATTTCATTATTTGGGGGTCACCCTGCACCCCACCCTGCAGGTATTTTAGTTTGATTTGAGGTCTTTGGGGTCACCCTGCACCCCACCCTGCAGGTATTTTATTTATTTCATTAATTGGGGGATTTGGGGGCTCTGGGGTCACCCTGCACCCCACTCTGCAGGTATCTCATTTATTTCATTAATGGGGGATTTGGGGGCTCTGAGGCTCACCCTGCACCCCAGCCTGCAGGTATTTTATTTATTTTATTATTTGGGGGCTCTGGGAGTCACCCTGCACCCCAGCCTGCAGGTACTTCATTTTGGGGATTTGGGGAATTTGGGGATTTGGGGGCTCTGTGGGGATTTGGAGGATTTGGGGGGCTCTGAGCGCTGCACCCCAACCTGCAGGTGATCTCCTTTTTGGGGGATTTGGGAGGCTCTGCAGGACTTTCGAGGGGCTCTGAGGGATTATTTGGGGGCTCTTGAGGGGTCACCCTGCACCCCAGCTGCAGGTACTTCATTTGGGGTTGGAGGCTCTGGGATTTGAGAGGATTTTGAGGGGCTTCACCTATGCACCCCAGCCTGCTGGTATTCCAGGGGGTTTGAGGCTTTGAGGATCTGGGGATTTGAATGATTTGAGGGGTCACCCTGCACCCCAGCCTGCAGGTATTTCATTTTGGGGGGCTCTGGGGATTTGGGGGCTCTGAGATCACCTGCACCCCAGCCTGCAGGTACTTCATTTTGGGGATTTGTGGAGGCTCTGGGGGATTTGGGGGTGATTTGGGGTCATCCTGCACCCCAGCCTGCAGGTATCTCATTTTGGGGTACTCTGGGGGAGTGGATTTTGGAGGCCTTGGGGCTCTGAGGGCTAGGTGGTCTGCCCCCAACCTGCAGGTGACTTTGGGGATTTGGGGGCTCGGGGATTTGGGGGTGATTTTGGGGGCTCTGGGGTCACCCTGCACCCCAGCCTGCAGGTACTTCATTTTGGGAGGATTTGGGGGCTCTGGGGATTTGGGAGTGATTTTGGGGGGCTTTGGGTGATGTTGCCCCAGCCTGCAGGTGACCCCAGGAGGGATTTGAGGCTTGGGAGCTCTGGGGGATTTGGAGCTGATTTGGGGGTCACCCTGCACCCCAGCCTGCAGGTATCTCATTTTGGGGGGATTTGGGGGCTCTGGGGATTTGGGGCTCTGGGGGTCACCCTGCACCCCAGCCTGCAGGTACTTCATTTTGGGGGATTTGGGGGGCTCTGGGGTGATTTGGGGGTGATTTGGGGTCATCCTGCACCCCAGCCTGCAGGTATCTCATTTTGGGGGCTCTGGGGGAATTGGGGGATTTTGGGGGCATTTGGGGGCTCTAGGGGCTCTAGGAGTGGTGCTGCCCCAACCTGCAGGTGACCCTTTGGGGGATTTGGGGGCTCTGGGGTCACAGGGGGAGGGGAGCTGGGGGCTCTGGGGGTGGCTCTGGGGTCAACTGGGAGGGGGTGACCCCAGGTGACCCCCAGTGCCCCCCAGCAGTCCCTGCACCCCTTCCCCAGCTCCAGGGGTTGGGGTCCCCCTGAGACCCCCAGACCCAGCTATTGGGGTGTCCCTGAGCCCCCTGAGCCCCCTGTCCCAGGTGACCCCAGGGACCCCCAGGGACCCCCAGAGACCCCCAGGTGACCCCAATGTCCCCCCCAGCAGTCCCTGCACCCCTTCCCCCAGCCCCTCACCCACCCCAGGGGGTTGGGGTCCCTCCTGACCCCCATCCTGGGCACCAATGAATCCACCTGTCCCAGTTGCTCCTCAAGGACCCTCAGGGACCCCCAGGGACCTTTGGGGACCCCAGGTGACCCCCTTCTGCCCCCCAGGAGGCCCTGCACACCTTCCCCCAGCCCTCACCCACCCCAGGGGCTGGGACCCCAGTGCCCCCAGACCCAGCTATGGGGGTGTCCCTGAGCCCCTGTCCCAGGTGACCCCCAGGGACCTTTGGGGACCCCAGGTGACCCCCTTTTCCCCCAGCAGTCCCTGCACCCCTTCCCCAGCCCCTCACCCACCCCAGGGGTTGGGGTCCCCTGAGACCCCCAGACCCAACTATGGGGGTGTCCCTGAGACCCCCAGTGCCCCCTGTCCCAGGTGACCCCCAGAGACCCCAGGGACCCCAGGTGACCCCCAATGTCCCCCCAGCAGTCCCTGCACACCTTCCCCAGCTCCAAGGGTTGGGGTCCCTCCTGAGACCCCCCAGTGCCCCTCAGACCCAGCTATTGGGGTGTCCCTGAGCCCCCAGAGCCCCCTGTCCCAGGTGACCCTTCGGGACCCTAGGGACCTTTGGGGACCCCCAGGGACCCCCAGGGACCCCAGGTGCCCCCCTTCTCCCTCCCCCAGCAGTCCCTGCACACCTTCCCCCAGCCCTCACCCACCCCAGGGGTTGGGGTCCCTCTGAGACCCCAGACCCAACTATGGGGCTGTCCCCTGAGCCCCCTGTCCCAGGTGACCCTTGGGGACCCCCAGGTGACCCCACGCCCCCCAGCAGTCCCTGCACACCTTCCCCACCCCAGGGGTTGGGGTTCCTGAGACTTCCCCAGTGCCCCCAGACCCAGCTATTGGGGTGTCCCCTGAGCCCCCTGAGCCCCCCTGTCCCAGGTGACCCCGGGGACCCCTAGGGACCCCAGAGACCCCAGGTGACCCCCAATGTCCCCCCAGCAGTCCCTGCACCCTTCCCCCAGCCCCCTCACCCACCCCAGGGGGTTGGGGTCCCTCCTGACCCCATCCCTGGGCACCAATGAATCCACCTGTCCCAGTTGCTCCTCCAAGGACCCTCAGGGACCCCAGGACCTTGGGGACCCCCAGGTGACCCCCTTTGTCCCCCCAGGAGGCCCTGCACACCTTCCCAGCCCCTCACTCCACCCCAGGGGGTTGGGACCCCCAGTGCCCCCCCAGACCCAGCTATGGGGTGACCCCTGAGCCCCCTGTCCCAGGTGACCCCAGGGACCTTTGGGGACCCCCAGGTGACCCCCTTTTTCCCCCCAGCAGTCCCTTTCTGCACCCCTTCCCCAGCCCTCACCCACCCCAGGGGCTGGGGTCCCCCCTGAGACCCCCAGACCCATGTGGGAGTGTCCCTGAGATCCCCCAGTGCCCCTCCTGTCCCAGGTGACCCTCAGAGACCCCAGGGACCCGCCAGGTGACCCCCCAATGTCCCCCCAGCAGTCCCTGCACACCTTCCCCAGCTCCAGAGGTTGGGGTCCCTCCTGAGACCCCCCAGTGCCCCCCAGACCCAGCTATTGGGGTGTCCCCTGAGCCCCCAGAGCCCCCCTGTCCCAGGTGGACCCTTGGGGACCCCTAGGGACCTTTGGATCCCCAGGGACCCCAGGGACCCCCAGGTGCCCCCTTCCCCTCCCCCAGCAGTCCCTGCACACCTTCCCCAGCCCCTCACCCACCCCAGGGGTTAGGGTCCCCTCTGAGACCCCCCAGACCCAACTATGGGGCTGTCCCCTGAGCCCCCTGTCCCAGGTGACCCTTGGGGACCCCAGGTGACCCCCAATGCCCCCCAGCAGTCCCTGCACACCTTCCCCCACCCCAGGGGGTTTGGGGTCCCTGAGACCCCCCAGTGCCTCCCCAGACCCAGCTATTGGGGTGTCCCTGAGCCCCCTGAGCCCCCTGTCCCAGGTGACCTCGGGACCCTTGGGGACCCCAGGGACCCCAGGTGACCCCCAATGTCCCCCCAGCAGTCCCTGCACCCTTCCCCAGCCCCTCACCCACCCCAGGGGGTTGGGGTCCCCCTGAGACCCCCCAGTGCCCCCA